CTACACTACTGACACCAGTACACCTCTACTGACACCAGTACACCTCTACACTACTGACACCAGTACACCTCTACACTACTGACACCAGTACACCTCTACTGACACCAGTACACCTCTACACTACTGACACCAGTACACCTCTACACTACTGACACCAGTACACCTCTACACTACTGACACCAGTACACCTCTACACTACTGACACCAGTACACCTCTACACTACTGACACCAGTACACCTCTACACTACTGACACCAGTACACCTCTACACTACTGACACCAGTACACCTCTACACTACTGACACCAGTACACCTCTACTGACACCAGTACACCTCTTCACTACTGACACCAGTACACCTCTACACTACTGACACCAGTACACCTCTACACTACTGACACCAGTACACCTCTACACTACTGACACCAGTACACCTCTACACTACTGACACCAGTACACCTCTACACTACTGACACCAGTACACCTCTACACTACTGACACCAGTACACCTCTTACACTACTGACACCAGTACACCTCTACACTACTGACACCAGTACACCTCTACACTACTGACACCAGTACACCTCTACTGACACCAGTACACCTCTACACTACTGACACCAGTACACCTCTACACTACATTACCACCAACACTTCCACCATGTTTACACAACCAGCACACCTGTACACTCACCTAACAACAGTACTCTACCACCAACACAGTACCATCACCACTGTACATTATTACCTTCCCCCAGGTCATTCACATGTTCCTTTCATTCTATTTGGTGATCGTCCTGCGTTTTATATACATTATCCCTTTTGAGTTTCTCATTGTTTCTATATCCAAACAGAGCTTGACATCATTCACACTCCCCTTACATCTTCTTGCAGATTTTCAGTGTCGTTTACCGAGGTGGTTTTTCATACTTGATTTCCCTGGCTTGATAATTATTATTATGTGGGAACGCTAAATCCGTAGGGGTTATACAGCACCTGGGAGAAATGGAAGGCAATCAGATTTCATCCGAGGAACTGGAGGGGGCACTTCCTATGAGAGTGGTTCCTCTCACGGGTGACTGGGTGTCACTCTGGTCCTCCCGGTCTTAGAGAGAGTCCAGGCTCGTGACTTTGCACTTGCCAGGGTTCAACTCCACCACTTGTTTCATCGTTCTTCTTGCCTCGACATTATTATTATAATCAAGGAGGAAGGGCTAAATCCGTAGGATTATACAGCGCCTATGGGGGGGGGGGATGTGGAAGGTATTTAGGCTTAATTCGGGGAAATGGAACACAGATCCAATTCCCTATATCAAGAGCCCCTCACCAGCATCAAGGAACCTCCCCTAAAGGGCAGCCTCGACATCTCGCTGCTGCTCCTCTTTATATATTCATTGTGCACTGATATATTATACGTATCTGAAACAACAAAATAACTAATTTTTTTTTTTTTGGTATTTCAGATTGATAGACTTCAACGCATCTATTCAGAATGGTAAGTAATGTTTGTTCCATTATGACTGGATCAGTAAACTTAGTTCCATCTCTTCACTAATGTAACGCATGTTCTGCACTCTGTGTCAAGAAAAATTAATGTTAGATTTGATATTGCATATATCTCAAAGTAACTTACTAAAGAAGCTTAAGTAGGCTTAGCTTAGGTAAGCGTAGATTAGCTTAGGAAAGGTATGCTTACATTAGCTTAGGTAAAGCGAAGGTAGAGTGATATTAGGAGCCCTACAGTGCCGAAATTTTCCTGTAACATTAGAGAAATAGCATAGACGGTCACATGAGATCATGGGTGCACTATCGTCCAATTGATGATGGAGAGACACTCCAGGATCCTTAATGAGGGATGTGACTCACACCAGACTTTATTTACTGAATACAGAGACATGATGAAAAAGAAACTGACGGTGTGTCTGACACGGCAACATCACAGATTCTTGCTGCACAGAACGTCTTCTGCAACTCCATTGCTAATTCTTTAGCCCACCAGTGGGCCCCGCCCACATGTGACCACGTTATCAACTGCCGCATCTCTCCACCGCTGAAGTACAAGTCTTCTTCATGGCACTGTATTAAGATTAATAACGTCCTGCTGTGCAGGAGTAACTTGTCTCAGTAAAGATACCCAGGTGATGCCAGTGTCTGGGTCATCATAGCCAGGTACCTTATATATGGCAGCACGGGGCATACCGTACTTCCTTATTAAAATCAAAACTGAGCGCTAAACCTGCAAGGACCAAACAGTATTTAGACTATGTTTCTATCCCGACTCAGGTTGTTTGCGCAACGACCTGCTAATGTAACCTAACCCGGAATGTAGAGGTTTAGATCGGGCAGAAATCAACGAATTGGGTGAACTCACCGATATTGTTTGCGGGGGGTCGGGTCTCCGCTCCTGTGTTTAATTTTCACAGATCACATTTTTTTTCCCAGAGGTTCCGGTTTTGTTGGGACATCGACTGTCCTGACTGGCTGCTGGCAGAGATTGCTACTCTCTCTAAACTGGTAGGTCCACTGGTGGGTAGTGCTGCGAGTGTTGAGCAAGTTGTGGTAGTGCTGTGAGTGTTGATGTAGTTGTTGGAGTGTTGTAGGTGAGTGTTGAGCAAGTTTTGGTAGTGTTGTGAGTGTTGATGTAGTTGTTGGAGTGTTGTAGGTGAGTGTTGAGCAAGTTGTGGTAGTGCTGTGAGTGTTGATGTAGTTGTTGGAGTGTTGTAGGTGAGTGTTGAGCAAGTTTTGGTAGTGTTGTGAGTGTTGATGTAGTTGTTGGAGTGTTGTAGGTGAGTGTTGAGCAAGTTGTGGTAGTGCTGTGAGTGTTGATGTAGTTGTTGGAGTGTTGTAGGTGAGTGTTGAGCAAGTTGTGGTAGTGTTGCGAGTGTTGATGTAGTTGTTGGAGTGTTGTAGGTGAGTGTTGAGCAAGTTTTGGTAGTGTTGCGAGTGTTGATGTAGTTGTTGGAGTGTTGTAGGTGAGTGTTGAGCAAGTTGTGGTAGTGTTGCGAGTGTTGATGTAGTTGTTGGAGAGTTGTAGGTGAGTGTCGAGGGAGTAATTATGGTAGTGTTAATGGAGTAGTTATGGTTGTGTTATGTGTTGAGTGAGTAGTTGTAGGAGTGGTGATGAGGAGAGTGCGGATGTTGGTTAGTTGTGGTAGTAATAGTAGTGTTGTAGGTGGGTGTGTTAAGGGAGTAGTTGTGGTCTTGTAGATAGGTGTTGAAGGAGAAGTATTGGTTGTGGCGGTAGTGTTGTAGATAGGTGTTGAGAGAGTAGTGCTTATGATGGTAGTGTCGTAGATAAGTGTTGAGAGAGTAGTGGTTATGATGGCAGTGTCGTAGATAAGTGTTGAGAGAGTAGTGGTTATGATGGTAGTGTCGTAGATAAGTTTTTGAGAGAGTAGTGGTTATGATGGTAGTGTCGTAGATAAGTGTTGAGAGAGTAGTGGTTATGATGGTAGTGTCGTAGATAAGTGTTGAGAGAGTAGTGCTTATGATGGTAGTGTCGTAGATAAGTGTTGAGAGAGTAGTGGTTATGATGGCAGTGTCGTAGATAAGTGTTGAGAGAGTAGTGGTTATGATGGCAGTGTCGTAGATAAGTGTTGAGAGAGTAGTGGTTATGATGGCAGTGTCGTAGATAAGTGTTGAGAGTAGTAGTACACTCTTTAAATGGAAATTATTAAATAAGATCCAAGAACATATTATAGTTGAGTGTATATATATATGACGTGACTGTGTGTCCTCTCGCCATCAGAGTTCCGTCAAGCTGCGTCTCCTGGCCTCTGCTGTAGCTAAGAGTTGCTACGGTGCCTCCCTCACCGTAAGTAATATTCAACTTCCCACTTCATGTATTTTCTTATATTTAGTTCTGATATACCATTGAAGTCTTGGAGAGTGAAGATATAGTAGCCAGGAGAGGCACAGGTGCCTTAAAGACAGTGCCACAAAACAACGCAGCGAAATAGTGACACCACAGTGTCCTAAGGGTATTATTATTAATATTATTATTATTATTATTATTATTATAGTGACTGGAAGCGTTGAACCCACAGGGGTCCCACAGCACCTGGGGAATGGGAAGTAATCAGTATTGAGTCAGTCCTTCATGTTATTTCTGAAATATCATTGTACCAAAATTATGAGCTGACCTGCTACATTTATTACGTTCATCACATTCCTTCCTGTCAATGTCAAAACCTATATTTTCATTGAAATTTATTTTAGGTTAAAATATCATGCAATAAGCTAAAAAATCTGAATTTAATATTTTTCACTCCAGTTACTTAATTATTGTTACTTAATTATTAAGGTAATTTTTTTTTCTCTCCCAAAATCGTTAATTGACAAGTTATATTTATTTGTTTAGTCGTATACATACTACATATATATATATATATATATATTATATATATATATATATATATATATATATATATATATATGTCGTGCCGAATATGTAAAACTGGTCAATTAGCAAGAACTCATTTAAAATTAAGTCCTTTCTAACATTTTCTCTTATACATTTAAAGACATATTTTTTTCATTGATGTTGATGTAAAAATTTTTAATTTTGCACCAGAAGGAACTTAGAAAACTTACCTAACCTTATTAAAACAAGCGCAATTAATTTCAGCCTAACCCAACTAAATATATTTTAGATTTGTTTACAATAATTTAGTACTAAACAAACACTGTGAAATATATTTTTTTTCGTTAGGTTCAGAATGATTTTGGCGAAATTATTGCATACACAAATTTTCACTTCTCCTATATGGCAAGATGAGCGTTGCTATTTAAGCCAAGATCGCAAGTTCTGCCTGTTCGGCACGACATATATATATATATATATATATATATTATATATATATATATATATATATATATTATATATATATATATATATAATTATAAGCTGTATAGAAGGATGGATAATAAATATATTTTTATTCCAGTACGATGTAGTCAGTAAACTTGCCAGTGATGCTAAGTTAGGTAAGTGTGTGTGTGTTCTTACCTAGTTGTGGGTGCAGGGGTCGAGTCGTAGCTCCTGGCCCGTGTGTGTGTACTCACCTGTTTGTGGGTGCAGGGGTCGAGTCGTAGCTCCTGGCCCGTGTGTGTGTACTCACCTCTTTGTGGGTTCAGGGGTCGAATCGTAGCTCCTGGCCCATGTGTATGTGTGTACGCACCTCTTTGTGGGTGCAGGGGTCGATTCGTAGCTCCTGGCCCATGTGTATGTGTGTACTCACCTCTTTGTGGGTGCAGGGGTCGAGTCGTAGCTCCTGGCCCGTGTGTGTGTACTCACCTATTTGTGGTTGCAGAAGTCGAGTCGTAGCTCTTGGCCCGTGTATGTGTGTGCTAACCTATTTGTGGTTGCAGGGGTCGATTCAGTTCCTGACCCGTGTGTGTGTGAACTTTTATTCAAATTCAAATTCAAAGTTTATTCTCTATAAGGATTACAATGTTGAATTTACAGAATTTGGTTGTTGTGTGGTTTACATGTAGTTAAATAATGATTACAGAGTGTACCACTAGAACACCTAGCATGGCTAGGCATTACAGAGTGTACCACTAGAACGCCTAGCATGGCTAGGCATTACAGAGTGTACCACTAGAACGCCTAGCATGGCTAGGCATTTCGGGCAGACTTAGTTTAATTCTTTATTTTAAAATATTACAAATTATGAGGTAAGTTGGTATTATGGCCTAAGTGACTAAATACTAGTTTGTGAGTTTAGCAATGTGAATGCTTTTGTTTTGGCACAGTACATAGTTTCAGTATTGGAGTATCACAGGATTCATTATTTTAAGATTGAGATTAATATTTCTGTTTATGGTCAAATGAGTGAGTGAGTGTAAGTGTGAACCACCAGGTGGTATTCGTGTAGTTAGTTGACGGGGTGTATCAGGGAGATAAGATGTTTTCTAATGGTAGTTTTGAAGGTGATGAATGTGTCTGCAGTTCTAGAGTTCTCAGGTAGGGTGTTCCAGATTTTAGGGCCTTTGACATACATTGAATTTTGTAAAGGTTTAGTCGGACACGGGAATGTCGTAGAGATGTTTGTGTCTGGTGTTATGCCTGTGGGTTCTGTCGCAACTATCAAGAAAGCGTTTTAGGTCAAGGTTAATATTGGAATTTAAGGCCCTGTAGATGTAGATTGCACAGTAGTAAGTGTGGATGTACTGAACAGGGAGTAAGTTTAGGTCTATGAAGAGTGGGGGGGTGTGTTGCCAGGGATGGGATTTAGTGATTATTCTTATTGCAGCTTTTTGTTGGGTTATTATTGGCTTTAGGTGTGTTGCTGCAGTTGGATCCCCAAGCACAAATAGCATAGGTGAGGTATGGATAAATAAGTGAGTGTATAGTGTGAGAAGGGCATTTTGCGGCACGTAGTATCGTATCTTGGAGAGGATCCCAACCGTTTTGGATACTTTTTTTGTTATGTGTTGGATATGGGTGCTGAAATTCAGGTTGTTGTCAAGGTATAGGCCTAGGAATTTGCCCTCATTATGTTGGTAATTAGAGTGTTGTCGATCTTAATGTTAATTTGTGCATCTCCTGCTCTGCTACCAAACATAATATAGTAGGTTTTGTCAGTGTTAAGCGTAAGTTTATTGGCTGTCATCCAAGTCGATATTTTGATCAGCTCCTCATTAACAATGGTGTTGAGGGTGGCAAGATTAGGGTGAGAGATGACATAAGTCGTGTCGTCAGCAAAGAGAATGGGTTTCAGGTGTTGGGATACGTTTGGAAGATCATTGATGTATATGAGGAAGAGCAGGGGGCCAAGGACACTTCCCTGCGGAACTCCAGTATCAAGTGGCCGTGTTGTTGATGCTGTGTCTTTAATGGTGACGTACTGATACCTATTAGTAAGGTAAGATTTGAAATAAGCAAGCGCATGGCTCTTTATACCGTAATGGTCAAGTTTGTGGAGTAGGATGTCGTGGTCTACTGTGTCAAAAGCTTTTCTTAGGTCAATAAAAATTCCTAGTGGATATTCCTTTATTTTCCAATGCTGTGTAAAGCAGATCTAGCATTTTTATGATTGCATCATTAGTGCTTTTATTTTTCCTGAATCCAAATTGGCAGGGGTTGAGTATGTTTTGAGCCGTTATAAATGAATACAGTCTCCTGTGCACGAGTTTCTCAAAGATTTTGGATAGCAATGGTAAGTTTGATATTGGCCTATAGTTGTTTAAGTCTGTAGGGTCACCACCTTTATGTATTGGTGTAACCCTTGCCATCTTGAGTAGTTTCGGGAAGGTGCTAGTTTCTAGTGACTTGTTAAAAAGTAATGAAATAGCATGCGAAAGGATATGGGCCGCTCGCTTGTACAGTAATGGTGGGACATGAGACAGATTCCCTGAGTTATTTTTAAGTGACTTTATAATCTCGGTGACTTCCGAGGGCTCAGTTGGTGCAAGATAGAAGGAATTTGGGAAATTCCCATCTAGGTAGTTCCCGGCATGGGCATTGGTATGTGGGATTTTACTGGCGAGATTAGATCCTATGGCTGAGAAGAAGTCGTTTATCTTGTTAGCTGTGTCAGTGGGATGTAGTGGTGTTTCATTAGGTTTAGTTAGGACAATATTCTTGTTTTTTTTCAGTTTGTGGGTCCCTAGAATCTGAGAGAGTGTTTTCCAGGTCTTTTTTATATCTCCTCTAGTGTCTGTGAATCTACTGGAGTAGTATAGTTGTTTGGCTTTCTTTATTACTTTGGTGAGAGCTGATGAATAGTGTTTAAGAGTATCTTTGGATTTCAGAATGGTGCTGGTTAGCCATGGCCAACCAAGCCGTTTGTTTGTGATCTGTTTCGTTTTTATAGGACAATGTTTGTTGTATAGTCTAAGTAATTTGTTAAGAAAAATGTCTGTCCAGTCATCAATACCATTGGCCTTGGAGATTCTGTAGGCCAGTCAACAGTCTCTAGGTCAGCTGTGAACTTCCTTATTGAGGCCTCGTCATGGAGTCTAAATGAGACTTTGTTGTATTCAAGTGGTGGTTTACTAATGTTTGTCAGGAGGAAGGTAGGGTAGTGGTCTGTAGTGCTATCTGTGATTATCCCTGATTTAAGGGGGGCTAGTATATTGGTCCGTATGTGGTCTATTATGGTTGCACTTGTCTCAGTGAGCCTGGTTGGTTTAGTTATTGTTGGTATGAGAAGTGTGTTGTTCATATTGTTGATGAAATCAGTTACAGGCTGATCATCTAGTAAGCCAAGGTTGATGTTGAAGTCTCCAGCTAGAGAAGGTGGTGCTTAATTCATTTGTCTGTTTGTTATTAGTGACTTTAATTTCTCACTGAAATTTGGGATGTTTGTGTGAGGTATCCGGTAAAATGGCACCGATTGTTATAGGTGTCTTAAGGTTTTTTACAGTAAAATTAGCAAAAATGTATTCCCCTATTCATCACTAAAGCAAGTGGTGCTAATACAAGATAATTGGTTAGAGTAATAGATTGCAATACCACCCCCAACTTGGTTTGTTCTGCAGTTGTGAATTGCTGTGTATCCTGGTAGAGGGTAGATATCTATTGTGTCTGCTTAAGCCAGGTCTCAGTAAGAATAATGCAGGAGAAGGGTGTCTTTAGTGATTCAAGGAGTGCTAGGAGGTCATCATAGTGTTTGCTTAAGGACCTGATGTTGTAGTTAAGTACTGATAGACTTTTAGCATTGTTTAGGATAGTGCTGGCTTGTGATGCTGTGTAATAAAGGCAGTTACTTTCCAATAGGTTTTGATTGGGTGTCAGATTATGGAGGTTTAGATCAGCGTCAACGTGATCAATCATCTTCTAGGTTTAAATTATGGTTATTTATATCCTGAGTTGTGTGTTGAGTTCTACTACTGATATCTGTAGTGGTGGGAAGTTTGGATAAGTATATATCTAGAGTATTTTGGTCATATAGAGTATAGTCACTACTACACATAATGAAGTTGATGTTGTCTATGTGTTGTGCTGGAATGAACTACAGTACAACTCCAGGCTCCAGGCCTCACCTCTTCGCTGGTGTGAGAGAGAGAGAGAGAGAGAGAGAGAGAGAGAGAGAGAGAGAGAGAGAGGGGTGCCAGTAAATAAATACAAATATGTTAATTAAATGGACACGTATGTAATGATTATTAGACTCATGGGAAGCATTGATCCCGTCGAGGTCACACAGTGCCTGTGAAACAGAAGGTAATCAGGTTTGATCCAATGAAACAGAGGACAAGTCTAATGGTTTGAATCAAGATGCTCTTACCAGCATGAAGGAACCTTCAGCTCAAGATAAATATAATAAATAACACCTTAATGGCACATAAAGTCTATTAAGTAACATGTCAATCTTCCTACAAAATAATGAACCATAACTACAAATATTTCATTCAAAAATAATTTTGTACAGTTATAATGTAAAAAAAAAAATCCACAATTTTCTCATAATGGTTATTTTTTTTTCTTTTTACATATAGAATTAGTTAGAAACTTCTTAACAATCCCACTGTACTTAATAATTTGCTATTGCTCATTTAGCTACCTCTCATTTTTGTATACTAAAAAAAAAGTCTTGTGCCTGTATACTGTACAAATTATAATTATTAATATTCAACGTAATTTGTATTTGACAGAGGAGAAGGAAGGTGAGGCTGTAGTTGCTGCCATCCGCTGGATGCTGGAGAGTGCAGCTGGTGCTGAGGTTGCTACTGCTGTCTTAGACTCTGAGTTACAGCAGTTGGGTCTACCTAAGGAACATGCAGCAGCCATCACCAGGGTGTATACTGACCACCACCACCACCTCCTGCCTCACCTCCATCATACATCACTCACAGGTACACCTGTGGCATTTTCTGCGGATTTTTAACCCCGGAGGGTTAGCAGTGCGTCATCGAGGGCTCTTGTCTTATTTCCATTGGGGTCCTCACAATTTTGTTCCCCCAGGATGGTACCCACACCAGTCGGCTAACACCCAGGTACCTATCTGCTGCTAGGTGAACAGGACAACAGGTGTAAGGAAACGCGTCGAAATGTTTCCACTCCGCCGGGAGTCGAACCCGGGACCTCCATGTGTGAAGCGAGAACTTTAACCACCAGCCTAATTGACCAAGACTAATCCTCACATAGAAAACCTAATGGCGACGTTTCGGTCCATCTTTGATCATTCACAGTGACTTGTGAATGATACAAGACGGACCGAAACGTCGTCATTAGGTTTTCTGTCTGTGTTGGTTGTCTGTGTATTGTTTTTTCTTTAATTAACCAAGGTTTGACCTCCAGACGAGAGACATACGGGCAAATATCCTTCACTCTGCTGCACATAGTTAAACTGGGTTAATTACCCAACAGAGTCAACTAGTGTGATGCCCATTTGGGTCCTACCCCAATATACGACCCACAACCCAGGACTTATATACCTGTTTAGCGCTAACAAGGATAACACCTGTAATAAAGGGTCTTGCCTAGACGTCTTCTACCCGGAAGTGCAACTCACATCTTATAATTGAGATTATATCAAATTGTAGTCTTCCAGCTGGAGGTGTTGCGGGGGTCCGCGCCCCCCGCGGTTTTGAACTGTTAGTCCTACAGGAATTATGTCCCCTCAAGGGAGGTTCCTTGATGCTGGTGAGGGGCTCTTGATCTAGGGAATTGGATCTGTGCTCCAGTTTCCTGAATTAAACGTGAATACCTTTCACATCCCCCCTCAGGCATTGTATAAGCCTACGGGTTTAGCGCTTCCCCCTTGATTATAACAATAATACAGGAATTATGTGGGCTTGTATCTTAGTCTAAGATAATTTGACTATCAGTCCAATTATCTTAAGTTATTTTAATAATTATATTATCCAAACAAAGCACTAAACCCACCAGGGTCATACAGCACTGCTTTAATAATTATAAGCTAAAGTAACTGTTTCTTTCCAGGGCCAAACTGTAACCTTATGAGGCCCTGATTATAATTATGGGAGAGTGCTAAACCCTTAAGGATTATACAGTGCAATGTGAGGCACTGAATTATAACAAATCCCCAAAATTCAAAAGTTGAAATAGGTACCAGTAAAACAAGGGAGAGGAAAGACCAAATTTTCGCAGCTCCCTCATATTGCAAGGCTTTAATTATTTTTACATTTATAAGAGAAGTACTAAATTCGTAGGAGTTATACACATTTGATCCAAGGAAAGGAAGAGTACGACATCATTTATAATATGAAAGAAAGGGTAGTTGAAATTCTTTGGATCAAGAACTCCAATGGAAATAAGTCACTTGAGTTTTTTGGGGGGTTATCCTAGGTAATTTACACTATGTATGATAATTGTACTTATGCGTACCTGTGCGTAAATAAACTTACTTAAGAGAAAATCAGCAGTATCGTGGTGTAAGTCCAGCCCAGGTTCTTCATATCAACCCTGAGTGAGTGCCATTCTGCTGACACTATATGATCCCTACCAGTTTAGCCCTTCACATGACTTTAATACTACTGCATTAATTTAAATACTTCTCCGTGCAGTTGGAAGAGATGTCACATGGTCGTGCAAAGTTGTGGGCGTGAGTGTGGGCGGGAAGCAGAAGGCAGTTGTAAGTGTAAGTGTGCAGGATGGTCCAGCCGCTGCAACACCCACCACCCTGGCTCTCACACCTGCCCAGCTACAAGCACTCATCCATGGTTAGTTTGATTGGATCTCATAAAAGGAAATGTCACCCACTACATACAAAATTTATTTTTAATTACGTATATATAAAATAAACTGTCATATCTAAGCGCCTCTGCGAAGACAGTGATTTATGTATGAGTTGAAAGTGTTGAATGATGATGAAAGTATTTTCTTTTTGCGGATTTTCTTTCTCTTTGGGTCACCCTGCCTCGGTGGGAGAAGACCGATGTGTTGGAAAAAAATAAATAAAATAAATAAAACTCAGTATTATGTACTGAATATATATATATATATATATATATATATATATATATATATATATATATATATATATATATATATATATATATATATATATTATAGGTAGTAGGCTGGTAGACAGCAACCGTCCAGGGAGGTACTACCATCCTGCCAAGTGAGTGTAAAACGGAAGCCTGTAATTGTTTTACATGATGGTAGGATTGCTGGTGTCCTTTTTTTCTGTGTCTTGAACATGCAAGATTTCAGGTACATCTTGCTACTTCTACTGATACTTAGGTCACACTACACATACATGTACAAGCATATATATACACACACCCCTCTGGGTTTTCTTCTATTTTCTTTCTAGTTCTTGTTCTTGTTTATTTCCTCTTATCTCCATGGGGAAGTGGAACAGAATTCTTCCTCCGTAAGTCATGCGTGTTGTAAGAGGCGACTAAAATGCCGGGAGCAAAGGGCTAGTAACCCCTTCTCCCGTATAAATTACTAAATTTAAAAAGAGAAACTTTCGTTTTTCTTTTTGGGCCACCCCGCCTAGGTGGGATACGGCTGGTTTGTTGAAATATATATATATATATATATATATATATATAATATATATATATATATATATATATATATATATATATTTATATATATATATATATGATGAATATAGTATTTAGGTTTAAAATATGAGAGTTTTAAAACTTAAATATATATCTTTAAAATAACTACCTAGTTCCCACTCATGAGGGGCATTATAACTGCCTAGTTCCCACTCATGAGGGGCATTATAACTACCTAGTTCCCACTCATGAGGGGCTTTATAACTGCCTAGTTCCCACTCATGAGGGGCATTAAAACTGCCTAGTTCCCACTCATGAGGGGCATTATAACTACCTAGTTCCCACTCATGAGGGGCATTATAACTGCCTAGTTCCCACTCATGAGGGGCTTTATAACTGCCTAGTTCCCACTCATGAGGGGCATTATAACTACCTAGTTCCCACTCATGAGGGGCATTATAACTGCCTAGTTCCCACTCATGAGGGGCTTTATAACTGCCTAGTTCCCACTCATGAGGGGCTTTATAACTGCCTAGTTCCCACTCATGAGGGGCTTTATAACTGCCTAGTTCCCACTCATGAGGGGCATTATAACTGCCTAGTTCCCACTCATGAGGGGCTTTATAACTGCCTAGTTCCCACTCAGGGGCTTTATAACTGCCTAGTTCCCACTCAAGAGGGGCTTTATAACTGCCTAGTTCCCACTCATGAGGGGCATTATAACTGCCTAGTTCCCACTCATGAGGGGCATTATAACTGCCTAGTTCCCACTCAGGGGCATTATAACTGCCTAGTTCCCACTCATGAGGGGCTTTATAACTGCCTAGTTCCCACTCATGAGGGGCATTATAACTGCCTATTTCCCACTCATGAGGGGCTTTATAACTGCCTAGTTCCCACTCATGAGGGGCTTTATAACGCCTAGTTCCCCCTCATGAGGGGCATTATAACTGCCTAGTTCCCACTCATGAGGGGCATTATAACTGCCTAGTTCCCACTCATGAGGGGCATTATAACTGCCTAGTTCCCACTCATGAGGGCATTATAACTGCCCAGTTCCCACTCATGAGGAGCTTTATAACTACCTAGTTCCCACTCATGAGGGGCATTATAACTGCCTAGTTCCCACTCATGAGGGGCATTATAACTGCCTAGTTCCCACTCATGAGGGGCTTTATAACTACCTAGTTCCCACTCATGAGGGGCTTTATAACTGCATAGTTCCCACTCATGAGGGGCTTTATAACTGCCTAGTTCCCACTCACGAGGGGCTTTATAACTGCCTAGTTCCCACTCATGAGGGGCATTATAACTGCCTAGTTCCCACTCATGAGGGGCTTTATAACTGCCTAGTTCCCACTCATGAGGGGCTTTATAACTGCCTAGTTCCCACTCATGAGGGGCTTTATAACTTCCTAGTTCCCACTCATGAGGGGCTTTATAACTGCCTAGTTCCCACTCAGGGGCATTATAACTGCCTAGTTCCCACTCATGAGGGGCTTTATAACTGCCTAGTTCCCACTCATGAGGGGCATTATAACTGACTAGTTCCCACTCAGGGGCATTATAACTGCCTAGTTCCCACTCATGAGGGGCTTTATAACTGCCTAGTTCCCACTCATGAGGGGCATTATAACTGCCTAGTTCCCACTCAGGGGCATTATAACTGCCTAGTTCCCACTCATGAGGGGCATTATAACTGCCTATTTCCCACTCATGAGGGGCTTTATAACTGCCTAGTTCCCACTCATGAGGGGCTTTATAACTGCCTAGTTCCCACTCATGAGGGGCATTATAACTGCCTAGTTCCCACTCATGAGGGGCATTATAACTGCCTAGTTCCCACTCATGAGGGGCATTATAACTGCCTAGTTCCCACTCATGAGGGGCATTATAACTGCCTAGTTCCCACTCATGAGGAGCTTTATAACTACCTAGTTCCCACTCATGAGGGGCATTATAACTGCCTAGTTCCCACTCATGAGGGGCATTATAACTGCCTAGTTCCCACTCATGAGGGGCTTTATAACTACCTAGTTCCCATCATGAGGGGCTTTATAACTGCATAGTTCCCACTCATGAGGGGCTTTATAACTGCCTAGTTCCCACTCACGAGGGGCTTTATAACTGCCTAGTTCCCACTCATGAGGGGCATTATAACTGCCTAGTTCCCACTCATGAGGGGCTTTATAACTGCCTAGTTCCCACTCATGAGGGGCTTTATAACTGCCTAGTTCCCACTCATGAGGGGCTTTATAACTACCTAGTTCCCACTCATGAGGGGCTTTATAATGCCTAGTTCCCACTCAGGGGCATTATAACTGCCTAGTTCCCACTCATGAGGGGCTTTATAACTGCCTAGTTCCCACTCATGAGGGGCATTATAACTGACTAGTTCCCACTCAGGGGCATTATAACTGCCTAGTTCCCACTCATGAGGGGCTTTATAACTGCCTAGTTCCCACTCATGAGGGGCATTATAACTGCCTAGTTCCCACTCATGAGGGGCTTTATAACTACCTAGTTCCCACTCATGAGGGGCTTTATAACTACCTAGTTCCCACTCATGAGGGGCTTTATAACTACCTAGTTCCCACTCATGAGGGGCTTTATAACTACCCAGTTCCCACTCATGAGGGGCTTTATAACTACCCAGTTCCCACTCATGAGGGGCTTTATAACTGCCTAGTTCCCACTCATGAGGGGCTTTATAACTGCCTAGTTCCCACTCATGAGGGGCTTTATAACTACCCAGTTCCCACTCATGAAAGGCATTATAACTACCCAGTTCCCACTCATGAGGGGCTTTATAACTACCTAGTTCCCACTCATGAGGGGCTTTATAACTACCCAGTTCCCACTCATGAGGGGCTTTATAACTGCCTAGTTCCCACTCATGAGGGGCTTTATAACTTCCTAGTTCCCACTCATGAGGGGCTTTATAACTACCCAGTTCCCACTCATGAGGGGCTTTATAACTACCCAGTTCCCACTCATGAGGGGCTTTATAACTACCCAGTTCCCACTCATGAGGGGCTTTATAACTACCCAGTTCCCACTCATGAGGGGCTTTATAACTTCCTAGTTCCCACTCATGAGGGGCTTTATAACTACCCAGTTCCCACTCATGAGGGGCTTTATAACTACCCAGTTCCCACTCATGAGGGGCTTTATAACTACCTAGTTCCCACTCATGAGGGGCTTTATAACTACCCAGTTCCCACTCATGAGGGCTTTATAACTACCCAGTTCCCACTCATGAGGGGCTTTATAACTACCCAGTTCCCACTCATGAGGGGCTTTATAACTACCCAGTTCCCACTCATGAGGGGCTTTATAACTACCTAGTTCCCACTCATGAGGGGCTTTATAACAAAGAACTTATTTTTGAAAGTTCAGTTTTTTATGATAGAGAATTTTATAATTTGTAATGTGATGTGCAGCATGGTAAGTGGTTCAATATTTGTAATGTGATGTGCAGCATGGTAAGTGGTTCAATATTTGAGATATTTTTATTGGGAAGTGCTAATCCTACAAGACAGACAATTTCTTTGGAATGGAAAGCAACTGAGTTTGATCCAGGGATGGTTTGGAGGAGGGTGTAGCTCCAATCCCTTGGATCACGAGCCCCTTAGCATAAATACACTTCCTTTCAAGGACTGGTCAGTACCTGATCAGCCGGTCTGTGGTTCATACGTCAATTTATGTGCGGCCAGCAGTAACAGCCTGGTTGACCAGGCTCTGATTCACCATGAAGCCTGGTCACAGACTGGGCCACGGGGGTGTTGGCCCCTGAAACCCTCTCCAGGTATACTCCAGACATAAGTGTCTACTAACATTCAATAACTCACTGTACCACTTGCTTGTACAGTAGTTCATTCTGGGAAAGGATATGTAACTAATGAAATGTTAATTTTTAGTGGTAATTTTATAGATTGCCATTTTTTTTTAAATATGGTATTATATATTTTGTTAGCAGACTGAAGAGCTTAGTGATGACAACAGCACTATCTTATCTCTAATAAAGTCATACATTTTTTACACCATTAAATTTAAAGACAGAACAGTTACTCTACCTCAGCTCATTTCAAAGTCCAGCTCTTCTAAGGTACACTTTCCTGCCACCCACAACAGTCACCTTACACCTAGGTACCTATTTACTTTTAGGTGAACAAGGGCAACAGATGTAAGAAGATCTGGCCACATGTCCTGCCCAGCCTGGGAATTGAACTTGGGTCTTTTTTGATCCTGAAAGAAATGCTCTAAACACTGGTCACTCTTTGTTAAACCTTATTTATATGGAACATGTAAAGGTTTATTTCTCTGTAAAGGTTACAATGTGTAACTACAATTTTGGTTTACTTGTGTAACTACAATTTTGGTTTACTTGTGTAACTACAATTTTGGTTTGCAAAGTACAAAGAAAGCCAATATCATGTAAAGGCTATTATGCTTGTATGTGTATGCACTTTTAAACATTTATAAAACTTGCCATGTGCCTAAACTTTTTTTTCTTCATCTACAGAGTTAACAGAAGCACGACAGTTAATGGAGAGTATCTGCTAGAAGTATCAATTGAAGTTTACAGTGGTACCAGAGACTGGCCTTCCTGACTGTACAAGATAATACACTGTAACATCATTTATCACCAATGAATATCTAAATTGCAAGCCATTAAAAATTAGTGATATTGATGTTGACCATCCTGTAGGTGCAGGTTAAAACCTTCAAATTGAAATGTTTTCAATATTTAAAGAGTATCTATAGGTATTTTCAAAAAAAAAAAAATTAATTTTCCATATAGTATGTGGTTCAGAGTTTACCATAGTGGTTTACCATTTTTACTGAATATAAGTGTTAAAATTGGGATTACTGTTACAGTACATTATTCACATTAAAAGGTAAACTTACTTTGGGTATAAATTACCAGTATTATTATTATTATAATCAAAAAGAAGCGCTAAGCCACAAGGACTATACAGCGCTGCTAAATTACCAGTAATGATTGGAAATATAATAATAATCATAACTAAGAATCATATTTAAATTAAGTCAGTTCATTAACAATGGCAACAGTAGAGTAAATACAGATCTAGAAAACGACAAATTCCTTGAAGAAAGATCTTGAAGGATAGAGGAACGTAAGCTGGGTATGCTTATATATTTACAAAGAACTAGACCCATATGGGTTCCTCCTAGTGGCTGTTGTATTACCCTAGCAGCCCCAGACTCATTTGTTTCTCACTAAGTAGACAGTATTACTTTCTAGTTCAATTTACCAGAATCATGGAAAATCTCTAAATAAGTGGTAATCACACAGCACCTGGGGAATGGAATATAATTTGGTTTGATTCAAGGGGAGGGCAGCACTGATTCCTTGGATTAAAAGCATTCAGAGCAGCCACCTTTCAGAGAGTTCTCATTAGCACTAAGGATTTCAACAATGACTGCATTGTTGGCCACAAAACAATAATTGTGTTTAGTAATGAGCTTTTAAAATTACAGTACGTACATTAAGTATATGTACCTATAAAAATCAAGGAAGCGCTAAACCTAGGATTATACAGCATGGAAGATATTCAGGCGTAATTCAGGGAACCGGAGCACAGATCCAATTCCCTAGATCAACAGCCCCTCACCAGCGTCAAGGAACTTTCCTTGAGGGGTTGACCCATATTTACATAGGAGATGACTGTAGGCACAGTACCGAGTGTTGTATGACCTCTACATCGTGATGAAAAGGCAGGTGTATCCTCTGGGGTGATTGTGGCCACTCCAGATGATACAAAACAGAGTGGAGAATGTATGTTATTGTTAATGATCAGGTGAAGGTATTAAGTCATCGAATTGCCATGTGATGTGGCAGCATGTCATCATCGTGGAACAGCATGTGTGTGCAAGAGTAGTCAAAACGATATATTTGTCGGCTCTATTCAGTGGTGTTGCAAGTAACAATTAAGGATGCTACAATACAATGGCACTTATACCTATTGGATTCTTAGTAGATCATTTCTGCTTCGCTTGAGTGCATCAGATAACCCTCTTCAGATGTGTAAGACAAGTATTGCTGGTATTGGACCTATACGGAAAAATTCTTCTCCATTCTTCCTATGTATATGTTATTGCGCCCCCTTTTTCCTACCCAGCATGGTAGTGTATACCCTTGCTTCACTGTTGGGTGTGTCTTGACAAACTACGGTTTCTTTGTGTTTTTCTAAACAGGTCACCCAACAAAGACACCCTTTATTTCAAAGTCTAGAGACAACCCTCACTCCTTTCTGCTCCACAACACAAACACCCAAAGAGGTGGAGTCATAATTTTTCTTAAGATCTATCTCCAGTCCAGAATTCTGAGGAATTCCAATTTATCACCATGTGGGTCTACCACTTTTTTTTGCACAGTGTATAGTAACAATTATAGGTAGTAGGCTGGTAGACAGCAACCGTCCAGGGAGGTACTACCGTCCTGCCAAGTGAGTGTAAAACGAAAGCCTGCAATTGTTTTACATGATGGTAGGATTGCTGGTGTCCTTTTTTCTGTCTCATAAACATGCAAGATTTCAGGTACATCTTGCTACTTCTACTTACACTTAGGTCACACTACACATACATGTACAAGCATATATGTACACACACCCCTCTGGGTTTTCTGCTATTTTCTTTCTAGTTCTTGTTCTTGTTTGTTTTCTGTTATCTCCATGGGAAAGTGGAACAGAATTCTTCCTCTGTAAGCCATGTGTGTTGTAAGAGGCGACTAAAATGCTGGGAGCAAAGGGCTAGTAACCCCTTCTCCTGTATAAATTACTAAATTTAAAAAGAGAAACTTTTGTTTTTCTTTTTGGGCCACCCTGCCTAGGTGGGATATGGCTGGTTTGTTGAAAGAAGAAGTAGTATAGCAACAATCCAGGAACTAAGCTGCAACATTCATGATGGCTATTCAAGTTAGATTCAATAAGAGAAATGATTCAGCAGGTATAATAATACAGTGGTACCTCGGGTTATGAACTTAATTCGTTCCAGAAGGCTGTTAAGATAAGATAAGAGTGTTCGAGTGCTGATACTGAATGAATTTGTCCCCATAAGGAATAATGTAAATTAGATTAATCTGTTTCAGATCCCCAAACATACACTTACAAAAATACACTTACAGTGGACCCCCGCATAACGATCACCTCCTAATGCGACCAATTATGTAAGTGTATTTATGTAAGTGTGTTTGTACGTGTATGTTTGGGGGTCTGAAATGGACTAATCTACTTCACAATATTCCTTATGGGAACAAATTCGGTCAGTACTGGCACCTGAACATACTTCTGGAGTGAAAAAATATCGTTAACCGGGGGTCCACTGTATGTACATAATTATTCGAGTTGGAAGCTGTTTGTATGCCGAGGTACCACCATAATCTGCAGTAAGTGAAGGAGCACAATGATGGGAGGTACCACCATAATCTGCAGTAAGTGAAGGAGCACAATGATGGGAGGTAACCACCATAATCTGCAGTAAGTGAAGGAGCACAATGATGGGAGGTACCACCATAATCTGCAGTAAGTGAAGGAGCACAATGATGGGAGGTACCACCATAATCTGCAGTAAGTGAAGGAGCACAATGATGGGAGGTACCACCATAATCTGCAGTAAGTGAAGGAGCACAATGATGGGAGGTACCACCATAATCTGCAGTAAGTGAAGGAGCACAATGATGGGAGGTACCACCATAATCTTGCAGTAAGTGAAGGAGCACAATGATGGGAGGTACCACCATAATCTGCAGTAAGTGAAGGAGCACAATGATGGGAGGTACCACCATAATCTGCAGTAAGTGAAGGAGCACAATGATGGGAGGTACCACCATAATCTGCAGTAAGTGAAGGAGCACAATGATGGGATAAACTAGATCCAGACTTGAACATTTACACTGTAAAAGAAATTATAAACATAATTCTGCTAAAAATATTTTCATTTGAATTTTTCACACTACAACAGCAGTGCTGTAAGACCCTTGTGGGGTTTAGCACTTTTATATTTTAATAATACACTATGACCCTTGTGGGTTTAGTGCTTTATTTTGATTGTAATAATAATAATACAACCACCTGAAAGACAGTAGTCAGTTAATATAACACGTTTAAACTCCTTCTATAAGACGGTTCTTTAATGCTATTTACCCTTAAGGGAGAGGCTCTTGATCTGGGGAATTGGATCTGTTCTCCAGTTCCCTGAATTGACTCTGAATGCCTTCCTTCCCCCCCATCCCCCACCAGTGCTGTATAATCCCTACAGGTTTAGAGCTCCCCATTATAATTTAATACTATTTAAATGCTCTTAATCGAACTATCATCCCCTTTGGATCAAACCTGTTTGCCTATTTCCTTGGTGCTGTATGAACCCTAATAATAATATCTATTTCTAGAAGAACATAATACAACTTACATAGAATTTTCTTCGGATTTTTAACCCCGGAGGGTTAGCCACCCAGGATAACCCAAGAAAGTCAGTGTCTCATTGAGGACTGTATCATATTTCCACTGGGGTCCTCAGTCTTGTGGCCCAGGATGTGACCCACACCAGTCGATTAACACCCAGGTACCCATTTGCTGCTAGGTGATCATGACAACAGATGTAAAGAATTACGTCAAAATGTTTCCACCCTGCCAGGAATTGAACCTGGGCCCTCTTGTGTGTAAAGCGAGAACATTAGCCACCGGGGCACCTATAGCTGACCAATGACACTACTATATAGACACCCCCTTGTTATGCAGAGCATTTCCTGCCACTTAGTCAATTGTGTCCCCAGGATGATACCCACACCAGTCCACTAACACCCAGGTACCTATTTTACTGCTAGGTGACCCCTCAGGGAAGGTTCCTTGATGTTGGTGAGGGGCTCTTGATTTAGGGAATTGGATCTGTGCTCCAGTTCCCCGAATTAAGCCTGAATGCCTTCCACATTCCCCCCCCCAGGCGCTGTATAATCCTACGGGTTTAGCGCTTCCTCCTTGATTATAATAATAATAACTGCTAGGTGAACATCAGTCAATCAATCAAGTTTATTCTCTATAAAGATTACAATGCGGAGTGTACATATTATAGGATATTGTGTGGTTTACATATAAAATACTAATTACAGAGGGGGCCACTGTCACACCTAGCATGACTAGGCATTTTGGACAGCAGGTGTAAGGTACCTAACACCCAGGCACCTATTTTACTGCTAGATTAACATGGACAGCAGGTGTCTTTAAGGAAACACGTCTTGTGAATCTTCAAGTGAAAAATTACCTAACTTTTATATCAGTATGCAGTAAGGTATATTAAAATGTACTACTACATAACCTTTGTCAATATATAGTAAGAGTTTGGATTAGTCTGCCAGAAATGCCCAGACATCCTAGTGGCCTTTTTTGTAATTAATATTTTATAATATGTAACCCACACATTGTAAGCTTTGGAAGGAAATAAATATTTTCATTTTCAAAAGTGATATACTTACAAGGGTTATACAGTAATGAAGAAAATAGTTTATGGTGAAAGTTTTTGAGTTTTCTTTGATATGTGAAGTTACAACACAAAACCTGTTATGGGTAAACTATGATAAACATGAACGTTTCTCCATGTACTTCTTACCTGGAGTACGAGCCACAGCCCGGCTGGTCAGGAACCGACTGTGGCTCACACGTTGGTTTGCGTGCAGCCAGCAGTAACAGCCTGGTTGATCAGGCTCTGATCCACCAGGAGGCCTGGTCACAGACCGGGCTGTGGGGGCGTTGACCCCCGAAACTCTCTCCAGGTAAGAAGTACATGGAGAAACGTTCATGTTTATCATAGTTTACCCATAACAGGTTTTCTGTGTTGTAACTTCACATATCAAAGAAAACTTTCACCATAAACTATTTTCTTCATTACTGTCACTTAGATTTTTAAAATTGTCTTAGGATAATTTAATGACTCAAAACACTGACTTATTTCCATTGGAGTTCTTGTGTTACATGAACATTAACTACATGAAACTATCAGAATTCGTCGAAAATAAAATAACTGGTACTTACAAGCGGAATAATGCGGAGCATTATCAAAGTGAATGAGAAAAACATTTTAAGAAATTGGTTAGTAAAAATTAAAGCCAAGACAACAATGCGCATAAGTGTTTCCAATACAGTAAATAAAATTCCTGACTTCCTATCAGTACAGGGGCTCTTGATCTAGGGAATTGGATCTGTGCTCCAGTTTCCTGAAATGAGACTGCGAAATAGAGCCCCTGGTCTCTCTGGAATAACAATGAAACAAAGTTCCTACCCAGAAATTGTAAACAGTCTTTGGTTAATATCCTTAATGCCATCTTGGCCTCGGGACATTTTCCAGTTGTTTTTAAGACTGATAGGATGATCTTTCTTGCTAAGCCCAATAAAGACATCCATCAACCAGGGAACTATAGCCCTATATCTTTACTTGAAGTCACTGGAAAAGTTCTTGAGAAGATCATTTCCAACAGACTCAACTACTATATGGAGTTTCATCACCTTTTTACTGAAAAACAGTTTGGCTTTAGGACACAGAGGTACCCATCATGCAATAAATATTATTTTTTATACTGTAGCAAGTCTGAAACATCAGGGCAATCTTGCCCTAATTGTCACCAGAGATGTTCATAAAGCTTTTGATAGCTTATGGCATGATGGTCTTATATACAAACTTATTGACCTACCTGACCATAACTGGACATTTCTCAGATTTATATATAACTTCCTAACTCAAAGAAAAATCACTCCTACCTTTCATGGCAGGTCAACAGAGCCTTTTATACTGACAGCTGGTGTCCCACAAGGTTCTTGTCTTAGTCCAATTCTATTCAATATTTATGTGAATGATCTTCCTCAACCAGAGTTTAATGATGCAATTATAACGCAATTTGCAGATGATGTCATCCATGTTGTCTCATCAACTCCTGTAACAGGAAAATACAAGTATGAAAGAGTCATAGAAAAATTGAATATTGAACTTCGTCGAACATCCAATTGGGAAAAGAAATGGAGAATTACGACTAACCCTGACAAAGTCCTGGTTAGCACGATAGGATGTTTTGCATCAACCATCGAAGATAAGGGGGGTATCTCCATCAGAGGAACACCTGTAGTCATTAGAAATCCTAACAAGATCTTGGGATATGAAATAGACAGGCTGCTCCACTCAACATCTCACGTCAATAAAAAGATAAACATAGCCAAAGCCAGTCTTAGCAGTCTCTTTAGATTTAATGAAGCCCCAACATATGTCAAAAAACATCTGTATAAAATGATGATAAGACCAACACTCGAATACCCATGTGTCCCAATGTTGTTAACAACAAAGACCAACATGCTACGGTTACAACGGGTCCAGAATAGAGCTCTCTGCTTTATTACGGGCATCAGATTTACACGTACAACAGGATATTAATGCCTTAAATGTACGCCTTGATACCCTGAAGAAGAAACAACTCTATGCAATGCAAGAACTCTACATGCCAGATAGAGAACATCCTCTCCAAGTTGAAAATACCACGGATTATATCATCAATACTCCTCCTCAAAGGACCCAAAGAATGACTCTCCCACAGAGGGTGCGTCGCTTCACCCATAAAGACGATTACCATCGACCAATGATCTTGAGCAACTTCCCTGCAGATGAAAATGATTTGGTAACACCAGAACCCTTCTAGGTATACTAAGAAAATCATCGCCCCCAATTAGGGAGATATCTTGTATACCATTCTACTGTTAAAATTATGCTACATTTACTATGGCGGACATCAACCAAATCTTTCAGTGGGCTGCAGAAAACAATATGAAGTTCAAAGATGAGAAATTTCAATTACTCAGATATGGTAAACACGAGGAAATTAAATCTTCATCAGAGTACAAAACAAATTCTGGCCACAAAATAGAACGAAACACCAACGTCAAAGACCTGGGAGTGATCATGTCGGAGGATCTCACCTTCAAGGACCATAACATTGTATCAATCGCATCTCCTAGAAAAATGACAGGATGGATAATGAGAATCTTCAAAACTAGGGAGGCCAAGCCCATGATGACACTCTTCAGGTCACTTGTTCTATCTAGGCTGGAATATTGCTGCACTCTAACAGCACCTTTCAAGGCAGGTGAAATTGCTGACCTAGAAAATGTACAGAGAACCTTCACGGTGCGCATAACGGAGATAAAACACCTCAATTACTGGGAGCACTTGAGGTTCCTAAACCTGTATTCCCTGGAACGCAGGCGGGAGAGATACATGATTATATACACCTGGAAAATCCTAGAGGGACTAGTACCGAACTTGCACACGAAAATCACTCACTACGAAAGCAAAAGACTTGGCAGACGATGCAACATCCCCCCAGTGAAAAACAGGGGTGTCACTAGCACGTTAAGAGACCATACAATAAGTGTCAGGGGCCCGAGACTGTTCAACTGCCTCCCAGTATACATAAAGGGGATTACCAATAGATCCCTGGCAGTCTTCAAGCTGGCACTGAACAAGCACCTAAAGTTGGTACCTGACCAGCCGGGCTGTGGCTCGTATGTTGGAT